CGCGAACTGCACAGAAATGGTTCAAGCGTTTCAAAAATCAATAAATTTTCATAATAGCCACAAAACCAGATCAAAAACACAAAAAAAAATATATCAAAAATCATTATTTTAACACGGCGCACGAACTTTTTCATCAACCTAATATTTTTAATCATATTGTTGAAATATCTCTTGCTATATGAGCGGCTTCTTTTGTGGGAAAATTTCTTTTCGGTTTATAACTGCTATATATGTCACGTTCTTTCTCATTTATTTGAAATTGATATCATAAACTGTAATAAATACTGATTAACTTTCACTTCGTGAAAGACAAAAATGATATAAATTTGGCAATAATTTTAATAGTATATTTCTCCATTGATATGGGTCTATTGCATGCAAATAGTAGCTGTCTGTCGAGATTTCAAAATCTTCTATATTTGGAAAATACTTTACTAACATTTCTACTTGCTTGAGATCATTCGAACTAGAAACGGTTAATTTCAAACTGGTGATACTTGACACGAAAGATTGATTTGTTATTGGTTTATTATATAATCTTTTTAAGTATAGATTTAATCGGCGTAATTTTGGTGTATAATGTAGAACTGGAATAAAATTATGTTCCAATGCACATGAACAATGTAAATGTAAATATTCAAGATTCGATTGTGATGTTAACGGATGTACTGAATTGTTGTGATAAAGACAGGATGTTTTCAAACGTTTCAACGTTGGACATGAAAACAGAAGGCTGCAATTAACATAAATCGGACCACTACACATCAATTGTAATATTTCAAGATGTTTTAACATTGACAAGGACGATGAAAGATTATCATTAATTTTACATGATACAACAGATACAGTTAGAGATCGTAAATTAATGAACTTGTGCAATTCGAGACGTGATAAATTTTTATCACACATATTCAAATAATAAATTTGTTCAAAGTAATAGGGCAATACATTATGATGAAGATAATTTTGATTTTGAATGAAGCATTCAACTTTCCATTTAAAGCCACTGAGAATTAAGTTTATTCTGGAATTTAAATTAAAAAAGCACCGATGAAGCTCATCAGATGGTAAATAATAAAATATTTCTTCCATAATCTCAACTGGAAAGTTTTCGAATATTAAATAACTATCCATCTCTTTTGTAGTAAAGAAGCAACCACGCTGTAATTATGCTGTTACAAAACTATCACGTAGTAAGACGAACGGCTCATTTTGTTAGTAAAAGAACAGAACAAAAAACACGTAACTGACTTGAGAATGACGACTTGACGATGAATACGAGAAAAAAGCAAAATACAAAAGTCAGCACATTTCTGTGTACTGACTTCCAAACATTACGCCTCTAGCATTCGAATAGCGATGTCTATTGGCATTTGCTTCACATTTGTCACATGGTTCTTCACAGAAAGAATTGTTATATTCTCGCATTTTGTTTTTCAGGTAAGAAAATGACGTAATAGAAAGGAGGAGAAACAGTCCGATATATTTAAAAGTGAGTGACAGAGTAGCCTGAAAGTGTAAACATATCTTGTTGAATAACTGTTCTCTTTTCTCTTTTCTTTGAAGAAAAATGTGACAAATGTGAAGCAAATGTCAATAGGGATATATCTCAGATATATGTATATCTTCTAATGATTGATTCTACAAGTCTAGAATCAATCATTAGAAGTCGACTGGATAAAATGTATGGTGTACAAATTCTAAAAGAAAATGTCTCTGACACTCCTGAAACTGAGAACATAGTCTTCAGAATTCCATATTTTGGTGCAAGCAGTCA